ACGTAGACGTGTTTGACACACCTTTTTCCAGATAAATTTTCTTAAATTCATATGAAACGTTTTCCTTTTTCCGTGAACGTAACTGTTTTTCTAGTCAACAGCACTTTGACAACTCAAGATCCTAAATCCTTCAAGAACACTTTTATGGTCGTTTGTAGACATTGAAATCTCAGCTATTTGTACTTCGTCGGTCAATTGTAAATGTTAGTCGGTCAGTTTCTGTCAAAGGTGATCATCAGTCCGCAAGTTGGGCAGTGAGTACTGAGCATGACGTAGTCTGTAATGCGGATATTTACCTGTTGTCACGTGCCGGAACGTCACAAGAAAAAACATTTCGAATGTAGTCAAAGTTTTGGCATCCTATTTAAGAAAAAATATTTCGAATAAGTTAAAGTTTTGGCATCCTATTTAAGTACATGTCAATGTGGTCATGCCGTCTACCATTGCAACGCAAATTCAAACTTTTGCAAGACTCTTGAAGAAGAAGTTCATTAAAATTCGCGGGAAAGGTCATTTGTCCACCTCATCGGGAGAATAAAACGGCATGAAAAAGAGGGTGAAGCTAGCTAAAAGGAAAAAGAACAACGCCCTTAGACTTTAGCCTCGGCGACCTTTCATCAAAGCGGCCGACAAGGGCGGCGTAGTAGATGTTTGACGGACCGACCTCTACAAAAAAGAAACTTTGCGGCAACTTTCTGACACCTCTTTTTATCAAAAGGTTGACAAAGCTCTTAGTTCCACTAATCAAAACACCGTCGAAAATACAGTTAACGAAATCATAGCTAAACAAGAATTGCCGGTCACTGCGAACAATCTCATCATAACCCATTATGAGACTTGTATGGGACAACTAGTAGCTCTACTTGTCCCATACAAAGCCTTAGAAAACTTTTCTAAGGCTTTGTATGGGAAAATGGGAGGTTCTTACAGTGCACGCATTTTTCGTCCAGTCATGCCTTTGTATTTACTTTTTACCTAAAGTTCACAAACCTAACGACCCAGGTCGGCCCATTGTCTCGGCTTGCAGTTGCCCTACCGAACTTATTTCCAGCTATTTAGACAAAATTATGGCTCCCATAGTCAAAACTTTACTATCATATATCAAAGATAGCCAACACGCTCTTCAAATTTTTTGCGACTTTAATTTTCCTGGCCAGAACAAACTTCTTTTCACCAAGGACATTACATCTCTTTACACTGTCATTCCTAATGGCGAAGGTCTTCTGGCCTTCAAACATTTTTTTAACTACGCACTGTTAAGGAACCTAAATCTGGAACCCTACTTCGCTTAGCTGAACTAGTGCTCACGCTTAATTGTTTTTCATTCGGGGACAACTTTTTCAAACAAACCAGTGGCGTAGCCAGGGGTACCAAAATGGGACCCAGCTATGCCAATATTTTTGTAGGTTTTGTTCAACACCAACTTTTTAGCCAATACACTAGCCCCAAGCCTGAACTCTACGGTCGCTACATCGACGACTGTATCGGCGCTACCTCCTCTACCAGAGAGGAGCTATCTCAATTCATAACCGCAGTCAATTTTTTTCACCCAGCTCTAAAATATACCTTGGAAATTTCCTAGATTTCTTTATCCATTTTACATATCAAAGTTTCAATTAACGGCAACGGTTCATGCACTAGTGTGTATTACAAACCTACAAATTCACATAGTTACTTGTTGTATTCATCTTCGCATTGGATAATCTTTATTTGTACTCGCATTCATACTTTCTTTCAGCAAAAAAGTTACAGAGTTGAAAGAAATTGTTCGAAATAAAATTGGAGTACTAGCAGCCTGGAATAACCATAGGAGCTAGCGGAGCTAGGCAGCTAGTTTATCCATCCATCTCATGTTAAGAATTCCATTCCCTTTTCTCAGTTTCTAAGACTTCGTCGTTTATGTAGTGATGACTGACTTTTCCCAGAAATCGGAGCCAATGTGCCAGTTTTTCGGAAAACGTGGTTACACTGTTTCTGTGGTTCAAGCGGATCACCCCGCGCCTTACTTATTGACCGACAGTCAGCACCACAAACGTCACAGAAGGAAAATTCTGACCGCATTTCATTCACTCTCATGTTTCCCCCCCACAACCACTCAGTTAAATCCATTACTCTTAAAAACTTTAAATTACTTCAAAACGATCCAGAGACTGGCACTATCTTTTCGCAACCTCCAGTTATTTCACTTAAACGCGACAAAAACATAGGTAATTGTTTGGTCAGAAGTTCATTCCAAACTAATGACCAACCCAAGCACGCATCAAAACCAGTCGCTAGACATATTTAATTACCTAATCATTCTAAAAAACATGTGGCAATCAGTGGTCTTTCCTTACATTTAGGCAACACTGAAAGCCGTAAAACTCTTGAACAAAAGTTTATCTTTCAAATCGGCACTCTTAATCCCACAGGTAATAACGAACGCTTTTCATTCCGCTAATTTATTCGTGTTTTTCTCGTCGCCATGTTCCCACCAATGGCGTAGCTCCGCTTTCTGCATATAAACCC